GCTCCACAGCTTACATTATCTTTTTTTCTACATTTCTGTCCTATTTACTGCATTTCATCTAGTGCAGGGTAGGCACCCTTGGCTCTTTTATGACTTGTGGACTTCAACTCCCAGAATTCCTGAGCCAGCCAGCCTACTCCTGATCTAGTGGAATGATTCTACAAATGCATTAATATAAGGGAGAACAACATGGCACCCACAACCTCCCCCCCGCTATATAATATTCAAGGAATATGATTTGAAAATAACCCCAAATCTTGAAAAATGACAAATGTCCCAATTTTCTCATTGATCATAAGTTTTCCTGAGCCCTACAATAAATAAATGAATTCAGTTTTTTAAGGTGCTACAAGTTTTTGCTACTGTTTATATTCAGAAAATCAACCAGCATGCTCCCAAGTAGAACTAAAATGATTTTAGTATTTTTAATTGTCTTTTTTCTTTTTGAGTTGTAAGCTACCCCAAGTCATTGACAGAGATAGGTGGCTACAGAAAATCAATCAATCAATCAATCAATCCTGGTGGTCATTGGATACATCCATAGTTTTCGTGATGCCAGAATCAAAATGGATTGCCATTCTCATATTCTAGGATGCTTTTTTGAACTTTAGCCTGCAGTTTTGGGATTTATTTTTTTTTTGCTCTTTGTAAATAGATCATTTACAAAGCCCAAATCTCACTTTGCTTTATGTTCTATTCTTATCACTCAGCCAGTTTTTTCTATGCTGGAATAGATCCATAGGTGAGCGTGTTGGATTTTTAAAATCAGAGTCATCTGTTTCCTTGAATTTAGGCTATTATGATTTTATTTCTCCCAATTGTCTTCTTGGATACAGAAAGCTTTGGAGTGGGAACATTCACTATTGCAATCATTGCACAAGAGTTCCTCAACTTTTTCCACATGTTCTGAGAGGTCTGATCTACCTAACTATAAGGTATCTGGTAGGGTTTGGTAATTGTGTTTTTATTTATTTAAAATAAATAAAAGATGCGGACTTATGATCTTTTTATTGAGAAAATATGCATATTTTAAAAGACCAAATATGTTCCAGATTACCACACAATTTTCTCTAAATGTTTTTATACCTCTAAATTTCTCTAGCACTATTCAAAATAAAAATAACAGTTGGCTGCCATTTTTAATTTAAAGTCTTACTGAAAATGTGGCATTCGCCCTAAAATGTGCTTCAAGTAAGTTAAAAGGAAAGACTCCTCCTCCACCCAATGTAATAGAAAACAGAAAATCCCAGATCTATTTTATATCCTTATTGTACCATTACAGGCCCATTCAAACAGCTTTAAATGAAATCTTCAATAGATTGCCAGCTCTGATATAGCAGTATAGATACTTTGGCATTAATTAGTATACAAGTCAATGTGTGACTTCAGCTACAATTTTTACGGCCAGCATACAAGAGCTTAAACACAAAGTAATTCTACCTGGGAAAGATGGAGAGACAGGAAAATTCTGTGGCAAAACAAAAATCACATTTTCTGATTGCAAGAAATCTACACCAGGAATGTTTCTCAGTCTAAGCAACTTTAAGATGTATAGACTTCAATTCCTAGAATTCTGCTGGCTAGGAAAATACTGTTTTAGGAAAATATTGAAAAACATCTAGAGACAACTGTCCCACTACATGCATTGCACCCAAAGACCATTTATATAGCCCTTATTTGCTAAATAAGGAATACGTTTGATTACACTATATTACCAAGAGAAGGAGAAAGGGGCCTTCACTGGATGTACAGTGCATACTGGTAATCCTCAATTTATGACCACAACGGAGTCTGGAATTTCAGTCACTAAATGATGCAGTCATTAAGCAAGTCGTCCCATGAACAGATCTGATTTTATAACCATTTTTACCACAATCGTTAACAAAATCACCTGGTTGTTAAGTGAATCTAGCTTCCACAATTTACTTTGCTTGTAGGAAGCCATTTGGGAAAGTTACAAATTGCAATCATGTGATCACAAAACGCTACAACGGTTGTAAATGAAAGCCAGGTGCTAACTACCCAAATTGCAATAACATGACTGGAGAGGTGGTACGAAAGTCTAACTTTGAAGATGAGTTGTAAATCACTTTTGCTGAGGCTGTTGTAATTTTGAACTGTTTATTAAACAAACAGCTGAAAATCAAGGACTATCTGTAGACACCCAAACCATCGGGAGAGCTTTAATTTGGATTCCTGCATTGAGAAGGGATTGGATATGTCTTATTTTTTCGAGTCCTGTCATCCCCATTTAGTTCTTTTTAATCTTTCTAGTCCCTTTTCACTACATACGTTCTACCGATGCTCTCAGTATAATGGGTTCAGATGTATCCACAGTATCTGAATGCATAAAGCAACTTACAAGTCTTTACAAGCTGTGAAAAGAAAATATTGCCCAACAAAAAGTTGTTTTTCCTCCCTCCTTCCGCAGTGCAACGGCTTTGCTAAAGTTCCTTTTGATGTAAAGTCCCCAAAGGTTGACGTTGATCATTTCTCTGGTTTCTTCAGAGAAACATATTTTAGAGTTCATCCTTATCCACAAATACCACTATTCTATTTTCCGAATAATTCTAGCTGTCACTTCACACGCATTCATTATTATTATTTATTATTTCTTCCATCTTTTGGAGTCCTTGTGTGAGGACATGACTAAATTCTACCATGGAAAATAATTCTAAATCAATTAGTAACTGAATCCAAACATAGACAATAGTTCTTTGATTGATGTTTGCTAACATTATTAAATTCCTGCGTACTGGGAAGGCAGTTCTTAATTAGCCCTCACCTTACTCTCATCAGGTTTTAGCTCCCAAACCAATTTTCCCTGACACAAGTCCCTCCAAGCATGTATCATGTACCAACATCTTGTTCCAATCCTCTGACTTTTGAGGTAGCTAGGACAGGAAAAAGCAGGAAACAAATTGCATGACTTGTAGGCATGTCATTTCTGAAGGATCATATAAAACCTTGCAGTGGGCCGACTGTGTCATTGCTGACACCATCCAGGTCTCCTGCCTTGACTGAGGACAGCATAGATTTGCAAAGCTGTTCTTTTCTGATTTGCATAAAACTCCAAAGATACCTACATTTGTTTATATACTGACCTATAAGAGAACTTGATTTTGACTTTGGAAAATCCACAGAAACCATTCCAATGTAATTTGAGAGATATGGTTTAGCCGCAGGGGTCCTCACCCTTGGCCACTTTGCTGGCTGAGGAATTCTGGGATTTGAAGTCCACAAGTCTTAAAGTGGCCAAGGTTGAGGACCCCTGGTTTAGAGTGAAATATGTATCAGGCCACTGATTTTGATACTCACTTGGAGAAATTAAAAAAAAAAAACACCACATGCCATTGTGGTTTATAAGCATACACTATGTTGTGGCTTGTTAATAAAACATGATCAAAAGAAATCAAGTCTTAATATTAAATGTGTGAATGTAGCCATTTTATTTTTTATTTAGAAACTAAATATGATGCTCTGGAATATATATCCTTTTAACTTTAAAAAACCATGTTTTCACAAACATCACAACACACTAAAAATGGGTAGTGGCTTGAAGGTGATTGTTATAAACTGTATTTCTATTTATTGCTGGTATACAGATAGTAAGGAAGACAACGGAGAATTTCTGGCAGAGGTGCAATGCTCACCAGATGTTTCGCATACTTAATTCTTGCCTTTTAAAAGAATAAAATAAATCTGAGTGAAACTTGGAATACTCAGTAATGTAATATGGTTAACATCTCAGAATTTAAATGTAAAATCAGAGGAAATCCAGATTCAAATCCTCATTCAGCCATACAACTCACTTGAAACCCCATAGTAAGTCATATCCCAGACTAGCTTACAGGCTACTTAGCTGGATACTAAGGAGTGGGAGGATGGTCTGGTGGACTGGCAGATTGGAAAGTCAGTGTAAACAGTGGACTGAAATGCCCCTGTTCAAGTCCCTCCCAACCAGGGATCTGATGGAGATTTTGGTCAGTTACTTTATCATAACTGAACCCCTCCCATAGGTTAATGTTGGGAAGATCAAATGAGAGATGATCTTATGAATACCATCTTGTACTTCTTAGAGAAAAGGTAGGATATAATAATAAAAAATAAAAAATGAATAATACTTGGTTCTGTATACTTATCTTTGAAAGAAAAGCAAAATAAACATAGGTTGTGTTCAACAATAGCTTGGTAATTGAATTAACCCATTTTTGTTCAATGTATTGAATGGTTAATTAATCCGACAACCTAAATTCACAGAATACATTAAGCCTAAACATATCCTAATAAAGTTTAAAACTTCTCAAGCTTGATAATTAGGGCAAAACTTTAGCTGATCTAGTTATGCAAATCCAAGAATGGAGTGAACTTCCTCTGAGCATATACAAAATCTTTCTTTACAGTGAGCCACATCATGCCATCCAAAATGGCTTTTGCAAGACATTCCTTGAAATGTCTGTACAATTTATTAGATTTAGTAAACACTATTCTGTCAGCTGGGCAAAGAAGAGTTACAAGTACAGGCCAACACAGTTCAAAATACGCTGGGGTTCCCTGAATTTCCTTGTCAAAGCACTTTCATCAAAGAGAAAGTTCATCTTTGCTTATTTCAGGGACAGCCTCTGAACTGTTCTTAGGACAGTGGTATTGTCCAATCTTCCAAATTTGGTCTACAATCCCAGGATTTTCTTGTGGTCTCCCATCCAAATACTAATCAGGGCAGATCCTACTTAGCTTTTCCAGATCAGGCAAGTTTTCTGGAGACTGCCACTTACCCAACTTTCAGCAGGAAAGTTTTTGCAATTAAAGGAAATGGCCTCCTTTCAAATGAGAGGGCATGGCACCTCTGCTTTCCAAGTTTGCATGCCAACTAGGCCTACCTGGAGTCGCCTCCGGGCCTGTTTCTCTTCCCAGACTCAATAATTACTCTCAACTTTTTGTTATGCACCGACCGGCAGGTTAGCACCTGGCCCGCCCCTCCACCGTAGACTCTTACTTACTTGAGGAAGTATCTCTGACCCGTGTGCGTGAGCGCCATCTCCCAGCCGGGAGGAAGCGGCAGCTCATCCGTCACGTCGTAAGACTGCTGGCGGAGGTGGGCATGCTGTTGAGCCGAAGTCGGGGTGGCTCCAGCCCCGGTGCCCAGCTGCAGAGAAGCTGGCGAAGAGTGAGAGCGGACGTGGTGGACCCCGACGGCAGCGCTAAGCCGGGGAGGGTGGCTGCCGGAGTCGGTGCTCGATTGGCGGGAATGGGATCCCGAATCGGGCTCCTTAAAAAAAGATTCGGGCAGGATCTTTTTTCTCCACGAACTGGGCTTGGGGTTCATGACCGAGTTGAAGAGAGCCTCTAGATCAGTGTCCAGATCCTGGGTGACATGGATCACTTGCTGTCCCGGCGGGGGAGGGACGGCAGCAGGATTCATTTTGCCTACCTTGAACCAGAAAAGTTTGCCGCGGGACCTCGCAAAGGAAGAGGGGCAGGAATTAATCAGAGTCGGCAGGCCAGGATTTCTCCTTCTAAAGTTGTCTTGCAGACTTCCAGCCTCCCTTGCTCGGAGCGACCGAGACAAGATTCCTGTAGTTACAATCGGTCTGCGGCGAATTAAGTTTCCAACGCAAAGCTCTCTCGACCTCGTTTGCGAAAAGGCCTCAAGCAGAAAATCCAAGGCAGTTATCCCCTCCCTCCCCAAAGTGTATCTTTATCTCGCAGAATCTCCAAGAACAGTTGAAGCAAATCCAAGTCAAGCCCCGAAGGAAAGTTATGCAACTCCCCCTCCCCCTCAGAACTTCGGAGATCTGCTACAACTCCCCCTAAGAAAACAGCTCCTTTAAAGGACTAAGGAGAGAGAGATCTTCTCCCGCGGCTGTCACGAAAGGCCGGGAGGAATTCCAAAGAGGGCCTGGGACTCGAAGCAAGGGGGATCCCGCGGGAGGGCCAGTCCCACTTAGAACACTGAGAAGCGAACGTTCGGATGTAAAACGTTCCCCTGAAATCTCAGCCGCGCTCTGTTCCAGGCCTGGCGTCCTCTTCGTCCCCCCTCGCGCGTGCAGAGGGCGGCCCGGTTCAGTCACTTTCTGTCATTTGTCTGTCTTAAAAGATGGGCGAAGAAGTGACTTTGGCGGGACCGAGGGTAGTTGGTCCCTTTTCTGTTTTACATACCCATCCTGGAGACCTTGAAGGGCTGAGTGCTTCCCCGGTGGCGGAGGCGGCGGCGCCGTGATTCGACTGTACTAAACAAACTTACCCAAAACTCTCAGAGTTAGGGCGGCACAGAAAGTTTGGCAGCTGCATTATTCATGAGCTCAGCGTCTAGGACCAGTCCGATTACACGGTACACCCACTTGCCAGTTCTCCCTCCCACAGCTCGTTTTAGAGAGCCGGACCCTGCTGGATTTTTCAGCTGGGAAACAGGAGCCTCCTGGGGGTGGGCTGAGGGAGTTTACGGGAATCTCGGACGGAAATCAAGTAAGGTTATGACTAACAAACCAGGCAAAACGCGTGCCAGGGCTTCCTTCAGCTGCTCCTTTTGGAGCTTTAGCTAAGAAGTAATCCAGAACCAGGATGCAACGGATTTAGGACTGAGACACCCGACTGTCTAGAAGATATTCCACTTAGATTGGCTCTTGTGGATGCCAAATCCGCTTTTATACTTCAATAGTTTTCAGTTGGAAAAAAAACTGATTATAGTACACTGCCAAGCTGCAAGGCAACAAACATTCCCAGGCCCTAGTCCCACTATGTCCACTACTCACCCCAAATTTCCAGTTTATCTGCATCTTGCTCCCAATCTGAGTGAAGTAGTATAGCAGCTACCGGATTAGTATGATCCTTGTATCTGAGCAGGGACAAAATATAGCCAACATAGCAACTTCATGCCACATACAACCAACCATGTTGTGGTTTATCATAATGTGTGAATCCAGACGGAGAAATACCCATAGTGGATAGATTTAGTTTAGGAATGAAAATTTTCAAATATTAAACTATGACTTCAGCTGACCATGCTTACATGGTCAATGGGAACTTGAACAAAATAACTACAGAGCTACAGATTCTCCAACATATTCAGCGTTCCTCCGCTTTCCAGGTCTTAACAGGTGTCACGTTTGAATAAAAATATCATCAACATCTTACAAGATACATTAAACTGAGCCATCAAACCTTTGGTTCCCTTCTAGGAACTGCATTTCAGTCCTTACAAAAGAGCATCTCTGCCATCATATGTACTTTAATATTCACTTGAGATTTTATGGTTCATAAAAATTCTATTAAAAAAAACCCTGTTAAATGCGATCCAATGTGAACATAGCAGTTAAAATACTATTTATTCAGCATTCACAGTAGTTAAGCCTAAATTAGAATCAGATTTAAATATCTGCTTAGCTATGATACTTACCAGATAAGTAAGGTTAAACCAGGGGTGACAAACTGCCGGCTCACAGACCGGATACGTCATGCCGAAACCGCACCCACCCCATTGCCAGCAAAGGAAAAAAAGTCACGATACGTCACGGCACGTTGTGAGTTTGACACCCCTGGGTTAAACAATAAAAAACCCTAATGAAACTGGCCAAATTTAGCATGCTGAGCAAATAGAATTGATTTGTCTTTAACTGTGATAGGTTGGATGTCTAGTAGGATGGTCAGTACAATTACAGTAGAGGGAAGTCTTCTGCCAGATAAAAACAAATATGCAATTATTTTAATTTTATAACTTACCTAGTTCAGGAATGCTCAATTGGTATTTTTAGGCTTGTAACCCTAACAGATATCCTTAAGAATAACCCTGAGCATGGGGTTGGGGGTAATTTTAAGTAAATGCATCTATGATTATATTGCTGCCCTGTTTTAACCAAGTTAATTTTTTAAACAAGGTTTCACTGAAGAGTCATGACAGTTAAGCTGAAGATTATAGCCTGGAATGGCAGTGAGCAGTTTGGGTAAGAGACTGGGCATATTGCATAATGAGGAATAAGTCTTGTATGTTCTTAGAAAAGAAACAGAAATGTTTTCTCCCATCTTAAACCCTAAAATCATTCATCATACCCAATAATCACCAAATCAGACCATTGAATCATTAGACTCATGCCTGTCCAGTCTATGGAGATTCTCAGTCATCTAGATCATGGTTGTCCCAAAGATGCTTCTTCACGAGGCAACTGGACTTCATTCCTTTGAAGATGTTTCACTTCTTCTCCAAGAAGCTTCTTCATCTCTGACTGGATGGTGGGGAATGGAAAGATTTATACTCCTTGCACACAGCTGGTAATTGGCATTCTTTTAGAGCAGGGGTGTCAAACTGGAGACCTGCGGGCTGGATACATCATGCATAGGCCATGCCCACCCCGGCTTCCCAAAGGCAAAAACCGTCATGATATGTCACGATACATCATAGGACACGATCAAGTTTGACACCCGTGTTTTAGAGAATTATTGGGGTCATCTGGAGGTTTATCTATGTCGTCAATGTCACCTGAGAAGTGCAAATGGGTGTGGAGCCTTCTTGGAACTGTTGAAAGGACTGCGTGGTAGACTGGAGATAGATGATTTCATGCCCCCCCCCCCCGTTGAGAGAGGGCTGTTCAGTTTTGACAAAGATGGCCTCTTTGACCCCTTTCAAACCAGCAGTCCTCTCTTTCCAAAATGTGGACTTTGCTGTCTTTGAAAGAGTGGCTTTTGTCTTTAAATGCAGATGGACTGCTGAATTTTATCTTGATGAGTTTGTTCTCCTATATTGTGCCATGTATTTATGAAGTGGTTGTTTTGTTTCTCCAATGTACAGATCTACACATGGCTCACTGCATTGTACTGCATACACTATACCATGTTGCTCAGTTTGTGTCTGGGTGTTTTATCCTTGGGGTGGACAAGCGTCTGCCTTAGTATATTCTTGGGTTTGAAGTGTGCACATATGTTGTGTTGGCTGAAAAACCTTTTAAGCTTTTCCAGTATTCCTGCAACGTATGGAATGACATTGCTTCGTTTATTGTTTTCTTTGTCTGTTACGGAAGAACTCCTAATAGGTCTTTTTTTAGATTTGATGAAGGCTCACTTGGGATAGCCACATGTTCACATCTTCCTTGATGTGTTTTAGTTCTTTTTCTTTCCCATCTTTGCTGGTAGGCAGGCCTTCAGCTTGGTGGGATAGGGTTCTGATAACCCCCATTTTGTGCTCCAGTGGGTGGTGAGAATCAAAATGTAAATATTGATCTGTGTGTGTTTTCTGTAAACTTCAATGTTAAGGCTTTTGTCTTCCTTAATGTTTATTGCACAGTTCAGGAAGGCTAGATTATTTTCCTTAATATCTTCCCATGTGAATTTGGTGTATCTATCCACCGATTTGATGTTTGGTGAACGCTTCCGATTCCTGTGTTTTGATCTTGACCCAAATATCGTTCACATACCTATACCAGTCAGTGGGTGGAATTCCTGTAAAGGAGTTTAAGGCTTTGGTTTCTACCACTTCCATGTAGAGATTGTCACAATGGAGGACACAGGTGAACCCATGGCACACTGTTTTTGTCTGTAGAAACCTTCATTGTATTTAAAATAGGTAGTGGTCAGGCAAGAAGTCCAGCATGGCATATATGTCGTCTAGGCAGAGGTTGGTTCTGTTACCTAAGGTGTTGTCTTGTAACAGTTTCTTCACTATCGTGACAGCTTCAATTTTTGGAATGCAGACATCATCTATTTCCAGTCTACAACCCAGTTCTTTCAATAGTTCCAAGAAGGCTCCATATCCATTTGCACTACTCAGGTGGCCCCAACAATGCTCTAAAAGAATGCAAATGACCAGCTGTCTGCAAGGAGTATAAATCCTTCCATTCCCCGCCATCCAGTCAGAGCTGAAGAAGCTTTTTGGATGAGAAGCAAAACATCTTCAAAGAAAAACAAGAAAGTCCAGTTGCCTTATGAAAAAGCATCTTTGGGAAAGCCTGACCAGTATTTGCCAAGTTCTCAGCCCAAGGCCCTTTGATTAACCCTTTTATATCTGGAGAAGACATAGACTTTGGGGATCTGGGACTTCTCCATACCAAATAGTTAAAATAAACACAAACCAGTAACCAAAATAATATATACACATTAGTGACAACAATCATTTTTAAATGATTATTTGTTCTGATTTATATCTTTTCTTCTGTATGCCCAGCTGCCTAGTTTATGCACATGTGAATATACAAACAAAAATAACTTCTGTAAACAAACATTCTTTATTTTAATGCAGTAATTTTTAGAATGTATAATTGTAATATTGCTTTTTACCCAATAAAACCAGTTGGCAGTTAAAGCATGACAAAATGTTTTATTTCGTTAACCAGTAATTTGCTCAATAATAATACAGTAACTGTAAGAAACAAGTCTGAAGACCAAAAACATACAAAATGTTAATATATGTGTTTTATTCTTAAAGACTGGAAAAAGAAAAAAATGGTCAAAAACCATTGTATGTTATGCATAGAACAGAAAAAGCTCACATATTCAACTATTTATGCATGATTAAAATTTATGACAGTTATTCTAACTTGCATCTGGCAGCATTATCAACATAACACCCAATCAACTTCAACCAGTAAATATTGTTTTATGTTCTTGGAATACTGCTCTGACTGGTCCAGATGCACTTTTCGAAGTACTGCTTCCTGTAATTATGCAGATTTACTATAATGAAAACACTATTTGATGTTGCGCACTATTCGTCTGCAATGATTTGTTTTCATTTCCCCCAATGCTTGCTCCATTTGTTGAATTAGATGGAGCAATGTGGCAGGATCAGTTTGTAGTATTTTTGTCGTTTGATTTTCATTCTCATTAAGGTGTAGCTTCAAAGTCACAGCTGGCTTAATTTGTTGCCTCAGACTTCTGCTGGCAAGCTATTTAAATTGTAGGATGGAAAAAGTGATAAATGTAAGGCTGAGTTACGAGCAGCCATATTCACAGCAATCATAAAGCAAATGTTTACAAAAATATAAGTTGTTACAGTATGTACCTGTTTCTTTATTATTACTGAATATTCCAGTTTTACTGATATTCATTTACTGCAGTTTGAAAATTTCAACCGGAACTAAATATCCATGGTACATGTTTCACATATCATTATCTTGGGCATTTATTTACGTACAATATTGTATACTCAAAAAGGCAGATGTAAAATATATTTTTTGTACATCTGTAGACTATTTTTTTTTCATGGCCTTACCACAGTAGTCCTGACTTATGACAATTGGAAACAATTATAAACAGAATTTCCATTGCTAAGCAAGGCAGTTCAGTGAGTCACACCTGATTTTAGGATCTCTTTTGCCAAATTTGTTAAGGCGATCCGGCTTCCCACATTGATTTTGCTTGTCAGAAGCCAGCTGGGAAGAACACAAATGGCAACCACACGATCCTGGGATCCTGCAACTGTCATAAACACATACTGATTGCCAAGCCCCCAAATTTTGATTACATAACCGTGGCAATGCTGCAATGGTTGTCAGTACGAAGACCGGCTGTAAGTCACTTTTTTCAGTGCTGTTGTTTAACTTTGAACAGTTGCTAAACAAATGGTTGTAAGTCCAGGAATACCTCTATAGTCCTTGAGTTACAACCATTTGTTTAGTGACTGTTTCAGGTTACAACAGTTTCTGGAAAAACTAATAACGGTTTTCATACTTTCGACCATTGCAGCAACGTGACCATAATTTGAATGTTTGGTAACCTACATATATTTCAGGGGTCATGTGATCACTTTTTGTGACCTCCTGACAAGCAAAGTCAACAGAGAAGCCAGATTCATTTAACAACCATGTTACTAACTTAACAAGTGCCATGATTCACTTAACAACTGTGACAAGAAAGATCATAAAATGGGGCAAAACTCACTTAACTGTCTTGCTTAGCAACAGAAATTTTGGAGTCACTTGTGATTGTAAGTTGAGGACTACCTATACACAGCCTATTCTCTGCAGTTATTTGGTTGCTTTAAAATGGGTGTCAAAGTCGCAACGTCACGTAACCTGTCACAATGTATCACGACTTCTTTTCCATTGCTGGCAAAGGGGTGGGCGCAGTTTCGGCATGACGCACCCGGCCATAGGCCAGCAGTTTGACACCCCTGATTTAAAACTTCATGGATAACTAAAGCAACCAGAATATATTGCGATTCCTTTTTCTGGAATCTAACACATTTTTTACATTTAACAAAAAGGCAACTGAATTATTTTATAATATTTAAATAATTGAAATATCATGGTTATCCCACTATAACCCATTTGGGTGGAGGGGATGCCTATTAAATCCAAATATCCATTGAATTTGAATTACATAATTTTGTTTCAATGTATGTTATTTGTGTAACTATATATATATATATGGTTTCTGAGGTTTTCGCGGGTGTTTGTATGTAGGTCTTTGGTTATTCGGGTTTTCTCCCGCGTAAAATTGGAAGTGTCTTGGCGACATTTCGACGAAGTCCCATTTGTCATCTTCAGGCTGGTGTTTTCAGCTTCGTGCTCCTCGAAGCACGAAGCTGAAAACACCAGCCTGAAGATGACGAATGGGACTTCGTCGAAACGTCGCCAAGACACTTCCAATTTTGCGCGGGAGAAAACCCGAATAACCAAAGACTTACATATATATATATATATATATGTGTGTGTGTGTGTGTGTGTGTTATTCATGCATGTTCAGTTTCTGCTTTTTTTTTCAAATCAATCAAGTGTTGATCCATTAGTTATGATAAAAATTGAACAACTAGCTTGTCTCTTAAAAGCCAGCTGTGACATGATGGGCCGAGAAAGACTGGCCAAAGTCACCCAGGCAGCTTTTATGTCTAAGATGGGACTAGAAGTCACAGCATCCTGGTTTCTGGCCTGGGTGCCTTAACCATTACACCAAACTGGCTCCCACTTGAAGACATTACCCTATCTTTGTAGGAAAGACTTCACGGGCCTGTCAGTTGGATAATCCCTCCCTCACATACATTTATGGTATGTGTTATGTTATAATGTTATAAATATGTTACCCTAGTTCTAATTCCAAGAATGGGCTGCTAAACAATTTAGTGGCTGATTTTTATTAGACTAGACTATGTACATAACTTTTTATTATTCTCACTAGACCTTTAATTTTCTTTAAAGTTTCATTAATTTGAATAATTTATTACATTACCATTTAAAATGACCAACATTTATTCCCAAATTTTCTATTGCAAAATAAGAGGCAAATTGAATAAAATTCCAATAATTTGCCAGGAGCAGGATATACTATTGCACTATAAGATGGGAATGATGGAAATTTCTCTAAGTATTTTTTTAATATGAATAGACTGAAGGTGCAAATTGCATTGTCCTAATGAATAAATAGATAACTTACAGTATATAGTTTACTTTATTGTATCCTTCTGAGAATAATTATATGGCAAAAAGTATGATTTCATAATATTGCTACCTCTATCTTCTGGAAAGAACAAATATTTTCTCATTTGAAATCAATAAACAAATTTGTTCTTATTGGAGCTGATATAAATCAGTGAATATCTACTAATGCTTGTATTCTTACCTGCACATCTAGTCTCCACTCCAGATTATGATAACTAGGAAACTTTGGTGTTAGTTCACTCAAAATATTCCTGATCTCCTTTCTGTTGTCAAGATAGAGCTGAAGTAATAAGGCATTCAGTTCTTCAGGAAATTGTAATACGAGTATTGAGTCTTGAAAATCTATCTCAGATATCTAAAAAGTATAAAATGCAAAACATTTAAATTTTCAGTTAATTTTATTGCATTTTTCCTTGCTCCAAATATATTTCTTGTTCTAAATATCGTATTTCCTACTATGAGATATGATTGGTCAGTAGAAATCAGCATATAAAAATTTTAAAATATGCAGATAGTTATCAATAAGTGTTCTTAAAGTCAATGAAACCTGAACAGGTGAAAGAAGTTAACAACTAAATAGTAAATGCACCAAAACCAGAGGAATGTTTAAACTTTCATCTGAAACACCACACCTTTGTAGAAGTGAGACATACTTAATTCTCTCCCACAAAACAATCTGAAGTATATGCTTATTTCTCTAAATAGAAGACATTGTGTAACCACTTACCATGAGTTTTGAGCTCTCAGTGAGAAGGTATGTTAATCCTTCTACTCCATGCTGAATTGTCTCACTATTTACATTAAGTTTTTCTAAAAAATGAAAAGGCCATAGAAATACAACATATAAATGGTCAATAAAAGAAACAAAGTCATAAAAATGAATCATTATAGCTAGAAACATATGCTAGGTTGCAAATGTGAATGTATTTATTAGAAGTAAGCTGTCTTGAATTCTGCATGTAAATGATTAACAATGATTGAAAAGAGAGGCAGAAGAGATCTTTGGCTTACAATGTCCAGTGAAATTCATATGAAAGTCTACTAGAGATCAGAGCTCAAAAATTTTTTTCCTCTAAAGCTTTTCCATTTTTCATGAATTATCCGAAAATAAAATGAATAAGGACATTAGAAAGGCAGGCCTTTGCTGCTTAGAATGTAAACTGCGAATAAAATGCTTATAAGCTTCATGTCAAATATCCTATGCCTATGGAAAATATGCTAGTTTACCATATGTGACATCTCCATAACATGATATATAAGGTTAAGGGTGTACCCCTTTTTTCAGAGTATAGGCTCCTAACTTAAATCCAATTCTGAAACTACTGAATCAATTCTGATGAAATCTCAGTACAAGTGCAGTGATTTAACAATAGCTGAAAAAATATTTGAACATGGTTTCTGCTTTGTAAGGAACTGGAAAAAGAATTTGAGCACATTGATCAAAGGTACACCTTTCATTATTTACAAATGTGAAAGTTGCTTTGCATTTGCAAGCAAGCTTTACTCCACCATTTCCAGACCCAGAGTAATAAACTATATATAAAAAAACCTATATGAACATATTTTTCTGACATTATAGGTGTAAGCGTGCATTAATATATACTTTTTGCTTTCTAAATTGCTTCTGATTTTTAGCACATTAGAAAGTTGCTTAACGATTTATTTTGATAATTTCTAATTTACAGATCTCATATCAAGCCAGATTCTTATTTAAGCACTGATTTAACAACCAGGAATTGCAGAAAAACAAGTAAGCGGGCTGATCGAAGAGGTATAAAATGCCTCATGTTTCAGAAAATTGAACAGGTTATTAGAGAGGAAATCCTTCTTCTGCATGTAATATGTAAATTAACTATTCTTCCCTCCTCTGTCATGTTCAGTAAAATTCTGAATATTTTTTTTAAAAAAAGGATTAAAACATTTGCAAGTCTGGAATCAGGTATTTTCTAACTGAGAATGACTTTTGTAACTTTTCTCCTTCAACTACTTTACTTTTTCTTAACACAGGCATTGATATCAAAGCTTATTAGTTTGATGGTAGATAGGAAAGTTAAAGCCCCCCCACAACAATTTTTAATTTTAGGAATTTTACAGGAGAAAAAGTAGCCCTTAAAAACACTCTCCATACTCTAAAACTAAATCCAAACAAATCTTTGTTTCCCTGTAAAAAACAAAAAGGTCTTGCTTATTCTGATTTCCCTTCTTCACTTTCACTTCATTTGAACTTAAAAAAAGGTTATAGTGTCTTCTCTTTGTCAACAGGGGAGGTTAACAATGAAACAAGTCTCCATAGATGAAGAGAATCAGCTATGGCTTATGGTAAGGAAAATTCTGTTATTAATGTTTATTCAAACATTAAATAAATCCTAACCTTAACAACAAATGAATACAAGCTTTAAAAATTAATCAAAGGAAAAATAAAGTTACCTCATTTCTTTTGGACAGTGGCCTTTAACATACTATTCAAAGCCCTGAAGCTGAAAGAAATTGTATTTTCTTATTTTAACTTCCTCAACATAGTTTCCTATGCCAATCACCCTGCAGAGTTAGTTTACATTTTTTTGTAAACCGTGATCCTAAACTACTTTGGACCAAGGTACAAATCTTATCCCTAGTTCAAATTAATCATTTTTATTGGGTTAACACCATTACATCTCATCAATATATAAAATCAATAATAGATGTGTAATCTATTTTTGTCTGTTGCTTTTATAGCCACAAGGTCCTAAGAAAACAAACTGTTCTTATACTTACTTGCTGCTCCTTCATAGACTTTAGGGTTTGTGCCTTTTCTTAAGAACTCAATAGCAATACGACCAAATTCATTGACAACTAAAAAAAGAAGAACCATAATAAGATTATGGCTGGGAAATAGAAAAGCCTCCTTTAAGAGTAATCTATTTGAATAAAACATATCTCCATTCTTTGGTGCTCTTTGAGCTTGCTTGTTTTCTTGCAGATGTTTCATTATTCTAAACGAGGTAACTAGTAGCACTGATGATGTTACCTAGTTAGGGTAATGAAATGTCTACAACAAAACTAGCAAGCTCAGAGAGCACCAAAGACCCCTTATTTCAACCCTGAGCTACAAATATTCTCCTTTATTGATATCTCCATCCATGACAAATTATGAATCTGCTTTTGAATTTACAGAGGGAAATTTAGAGAGTATGAATATAGGCAGAAATGGACAAATAAAAGGAATGAGCACAACATTATGGACTGCCAGAATAAAATTTCAACCCTTATTTTTCACTATCAATTTTTCCATATAACTGAACTAGATTCTAAAAAAAATCTAGTTTTACCTAGTCCACTAATGAGAACATAAATCCCATGTAGAGATAAATCTAGTAATCAAATTGTTAAATGCCTAATCAGTTGGTACAGGTAATATTAATCTGAAAATGTTTCCATTTCTACAAGTTTCTGGAATTGGGCATAGAGTTAGTCTTGCATATCAAACTGCATACGAACTGAATCTGAATGGGGAAACTTTGGCAGTTTCTGAAGTGCTGACGGGAGCCATAGTGTGCTTCCTAATAATATTACTATCTACTTAAACTCCAATGTGACCAGAGAAGTTTCTAAATCAAAAATTAGATGTATTCACAACAAATCACAAAATGAGCCAAACATCACAGAGAATGCAACCTGAACTCAGCTTATATGGTTAATTTGGTTCAATTTACTGCATGAATAAAACTGAGTTAACTGCAAACACAGGAACTGCCTCGGCTAGAACATTTGTAATTGCAAGCTAGCTACATTAATAATTTGCAATATGGAGATTAGATCAATTTATCTGAGATGATTAGGTTATGCTAAGTGATTGTACAAGTTGGCAGACTTGGCTATGTTTGCACAACATAAAAGCAATCACAAACTTGCTAACTTTGAATCAATGTTGCACAAACCCAGGCTTTTGGCTACTCCAATTTTCAATGTATTGTATAAACCTAAAAACAATTTATTTCTATAAGCTGATTGATCACGTTATATTACAACCACTGTGCTGTGCAAGCTCAGTTACTAGTTTGTAAACTATGGCTTATTGCTTAATTTGTTACATGAAGCCAGCTACAGTAATTATCCCCTTTATGGATTACTGCCTTGTCGTGGCAAAGGGGCTTGCGTAACTCAATGAAGCTATAAGCTATGCCGTGCAGGGCCACCCAAGACGGACAGGTTATAGCAGAGAGTTCTGACAAAATGTGATCCACTGGAGAAGGAAATGGCAAACTACTCCAGTATCTTTGCCATGAAAACCCCATGGACAGTACTAAAAGGCAAAAAGATATGACACTGGAAGATGAGCCCCTCAGGTCGGAAGGTGTCCAATATGCTACTGGGGAAGAGCAGAGGGCTAGTACTAGTAGCGCCAGAAAGAATGAAGCGACTTGGCCAAAGCCGAAAGGACGCTCAGCTGTGGATATATCTGGTGGTGAAAGGAAAGTTCCTATGGATTTTTTCTCCATAGGAACTTGGAATGTAAGATCCATGAATCAAGGCAAGCTAGACGTAGTCAAAAAAGAGATGACAAGACTGAACATCGACATCTTAGGAATCAGCGAACTAAAATGGACAGGAATGGGTGAATTTAACTCAGATGACCATCAGGTATACTACTGTGGGCAAGAATCCCTCAGAAGAAATGGAGTAGCCTTCATAGTCAATAAAAGAATAGGAAAAGCAACACTGGGATACAGTCCCCAAAATGACAGAATGATCTCAATTCGAATCCAAGGCAAACCATTCAATGTCACAATAGTCCAAATCTATGCCCCAACCACTGGTGCTGAAGAGGATGAAATTGACCGGTTCTATGAAGCCCTACAGCACCTTATGGAATCAACACCAAAAAATGATGTCCTTATCATCATGGGGGATTGGAATGCTAAGGTAGGAAGCCAAAAGATAACCGGAATAACAGGCAAGTTTGGCCTTGGAGTACAAAATGAAGCAGGGCACAGGCTAATAGAATTTTGTCAAGAGAATACGATGGTCATAACAAACACTCTTTTCCAACAACCCAAGAGGCGGCTCTACACATGGACATCACCAGACGGTCAACATAGAAATCAGATTGACTATGTGCTCTGCAGCCAAAGATGGAGAAGCTCTATACAGTCAGTAAAAACAAGACCAGGAGCTGACTGTGGCTCAGATCATGAGCTTCTCGTTGCAAAATTTAGGCTTAAATTGAAAAAAGTAGGAAAAGCACTAGGCCACTCAGGTAAGAACTAAATCATATCCCTGATGAATATACAGTAGAGGTGACAAATAGATTTAAAGAATTAGATCTGATAGACAGAGTGCCTGAAGAACTATGGATGGAAGTTCGCAACATTGTACAAGAGGTAGCAACTAAAACCATCCCAAAGAAAAAAAAAATGCAAGAAAGCAAAATGGCTGTCTGAAGAAGCTTTGCAAATAGCTGAGGAAAGAAGGGAAGCGAAAGGCAAAGGAGAAAGAGAAAGATACACCCAATTGAATGCAGAATTCCAGAGAGTAGCTAGAAGAGATAAGAATGCCTTCTTAAATGAACAGTGCAAAGAAATAGAAGAAAACAACAGAATAGGGAGGACCAGAGATCTCTTCAAGAAAATTGGAGATATGAAGGGAACGTTTCATGCAAAGATGGGCATGATAAAGGACCAAAATGGCAGAGACCTAACAGAGGCAGAAGAGATTAAGAAGAGATGGCAAAACTACACAGAAGAACTATACAAGAATGAGCTTAACATCCCAGATAACCACAATGAGATGGTCACTGACCTCGAACCAGACATCCTAGAATGTGAAGTGAAATGGGCCTTAGAAAATCTGAGCAACAACAAAGCTAGTGGAGGTGACAGTATTCCAGCTGAACTATTCAAAATCTTAAAAGACGATGCAGTAAAAGTGCTACACTCAATTTGCCAGCAAATTTGGAAAACTCAACAGTGGCCACAGGATTGGAAAAGGTCAGTTTACATTCCAATTCCAAAGAAAGGCAATGCCAAAGAATGTTCAAACTATCGCACCATTGCACTCATTTCACATGCTAGTAAAGTTATGCTTAAAATCCTACAAGCTAGACTCCAGCAGTATGTGGATCGAGAACTACCAGAAGTACAGGCAGGATTTCGAAGAGGCAGAGGAACTAGAGATCAAATTGCCAACATACGCTGGATCATGGAGAAAGCTAGGGAGTTCCAGAAAAACATCTACTTCTGCTTCATTGACTATGCAAAAGCCTTTGATTGTGTGGATCACAACAAATTGTGGCAAGTTCTTAAAGAGATGGGAGTACCAGACCATCTCATTTGTCTCTTGAAAAACCTATATGCGGGTCAAGAAGCAACAGTGAGAACTGGACACGGAACCACTGATTGGTTCAAAATTGGAAAAGGAGTCCGGCAAGGCTGTATACTGTCGCCCTGCCTATTTAACTTATATGCAGAGCACATCATGAGAAAGGCAGGGCTAGATGAATCAAAAGTTGGAATTAAGATTGATTGATGCGGGTGAAGAAGGAGAGTGAAAAAGTTGGCTTGAAACTCAGCATTAAGAAAACCAAAATCATGGCATCCGGCCCTCTCAATTCCTGGCAAATAGATCGGGAAGAAATGGAGGTAGTGACAGATTTTATTTTTCTGGGCTCAAAGATCACCTCAGATGGGGACTGCAGCCAAGAAATTAAAAGACGCTTGCTCCTGGGGAGGAAAGCTATGGCAAATCTAGACAGCATACTAAAAAGCAGAGACATCACCCTGCCAACAAAAGTGCGTATAGTCCAGGCCATGGTTTTCCCAGTTGCAATGTATGGCTGTGAAAGTTGGACCATAAGAAAGGCTGAGCGCCAAAGAATTGAGGCCTTTGAACTATGGTGCTGGAGAAGACTCCTGCGAGTCCCTTGGACTGCAAGGCGTTCAAACCGGTCAGTCCTAGAAGAGATCAACCCCGACTGCTCTTTAGAAGGCCAGATCCTGAAGTTGAAACTCAAATACTTTGGCCACCTAATGAGAAGGAAGGACTCACTGGAGAAGGGCCTAATGCTGGGAAAGATTGAGGGCAATAGAAGAATGGGATGACAGAGAATGAGATGGCTGGATGGAGTCACTGAAGCAGTAGGTGTGAACGTAAATGGACTCCAGAAGATGGTAGAGGACAGGAAGACCTGGAGGAACATTGTCCATGGGGTCGCGATGGGTCAGACACGACTTCGCAATTAACAACAACAACAACAACGGTAATTATGCTTCATTTAACTGTTAATCTAACCACATCTTAATCAGATATGTGAACTAATAAAAAAGAATGACTTTTCACTCTTAAAAAATATTTTAGTTGCAAAAAAGTAAAATACAAAATAAAATAGCTAATGCAAAGTCATTCCAGGCATAATTTTTGACTAGCTGCAAGTTAAAAAAAAATTCTTAGAATTTCTGCAAACATTAACATTTAACAAAGCATATTAAGATATATGAATAAATATTATTATAAGAATCATTCTTTTAGATTTATAATCTGTGTTCATTTAAAAACATTTACATAAACTTTAATATACTTTGATCGTGAAGATACAGAACAAAGTACTCCAGACACTGTATATACGGTAGTCTTTTTGGTCTTTGAAAGCTATGCAAGATGTTCTAAAGCTGTCTTAGCAAACCTTTCACGTTAAAATTGGAGAATTAACATAGGTCAAATTATAGAGTAGGTTTGTATTATTTCTTGAAGCTTAAAGTCAAAATGAATCATAAGTCTAAATAGAATATACCAGAAAATAAAGTGAACATATATACCTGATATCAATAGAACTGTATTAGAATTGTTATGTTTACTTGCAATAAATAGTTTGTACTATAAAAGCAGGGGCGGGCAAGCTATTTTTTACTGGGCACACGTATTTATTTGTTACAAACATCTTTGTTGGCAATGCTGATAAAACCCTTTTAAACTGCGAGGGTAGCCACACTTCCCTGGAAGCATGACCCCAAGGGTGTTTTCAGCTGAGCAAACATATCCAGGGCGCTCTCAGGGTCGCAGTCCTAAATATTCCGATACTCCACGCTGAACATTCCCAAATAAACAGGCAAAGGTTTGCGTAGTGGCCTCATCATAACAGGATTATATATCCCATCAAGCGCTTTTCCATCTTCCCCCGCGGAATGCAAGCGATTGGGTGAGGAAGGGCCCGCGGTCCCCGGAGCACGTAAGTCAGAATGGACGAGCCCTGCAAGCCCTCGAAGTGCTCCTACCTGAGCTCTCTACTTGGGGAAGGAAGCCCAGGTGTTCTTTGTGCTCTTCCGACAGCACCAGCAGCATCTTCCTCGCTTAGCGCCCCCCACCGATACAATCAGCAGTTCCCAGCTTCGCTTCCCGCCGGACAGAATTTCCCTCCCTCTTGGTGTGACCAAGATAGCCCTCCGCCGAGAAGCAGCTCCCTCATCAAGGGTTCCCAATCAGTCTCGCTGAAGACGAACCAGCTCCAATTCCTTTATATAGCGCCAGCCTTTATGCGGCGCTTAGGATCAGTTTAAAACAAAGTCCAGGTATTGCTGCTGCTGCTGCCGCCGCCATCGTCGCCTGTTATAAAAACTTTCCCACTCGCTCTTTTCTGTAATATATATTTAAAACCATTAAAAATATTTTAATGCAGATTTAATATTGAGCATGACTATACAGTACTTATTACTAAAAGGTTCTCTTATAGAGAGTCCTCTTCTGAAAATGTGAACCACAGCGTTTTGGTGGACGGGTAAAGTGTCCTGAATTAAAATCTGTAGCATTAAAATAAGATTTATTGAACACCCCACAATTAGCTGGGTTCATAGCCATGCAGAGCTATGAATCATGTTTTACAGAGCTTATGACAGGGCCTGCAATTAAGGAATAAACTTGCCATATTTTGTGTTGGAATCCTGCAGATATGAGGTATGCTTGTCTCCTCCCAAAGAGGCAGGAGGGAGAAAAAAAAGTACTTAACAATTATTAAAGACATGTTCTTGGTCAGGCTCCTTAAAAATCAACTCAGCAAAGTATTGCATACAAACCCATCATGTGATGTCCTGGAATTGGCAATATCAGACAAAGCAAACAAAAAGTAAAACACATTAAAAGCAAGGGATAAAAGAAGGTAATTTAGAACAATGTGAGGTTGCTTTAGATAAAACCAGATTTTACTTACATTTCTGATATACTGGCTCAGATGTGCCAAAACTGACTAATATTGCATCCTTGTTAAATATCCACCTGTATTTCATTGCTTTTTTCCCCTCTCCCTTTCCCCCCACATTTTCTATATTTTAAAAGTATTTGTATCAGTATTATACATTTTCCTTTTTTTTGAAATTATATTAGTAATAAATACCTGCTTTAAAAAAGAAATAATCTAATCCACTTCCCTATCCACTGCTGAAATTTGTGACTACTGTACATCTCTGACTAGTGATCATCCAGTCTGTTTAAATGCCTCTAAAAAAGACAATACAAGTAGTCCTTGATTTATGATACAATTGAGTCCAAAATTTCTGTTATGAAGCACAACAGTTAATTTTTGCCCTAGTTATTAAAAGAATCACTATAGTTGTTAAGTTAGTAACATGGTTTTAAATGAATCTGGCTTCCCCATTGAGTTTCCTTGTCAGAAGTTTGCAAAAGGTGACCATATGACCCCGGGACAGTGCAACCATCATAAATGAGTCAGTTGCCAAGCCTCTAAATTTTGATCATGTGACCATGGGAATATTATAGCAGTTGTGTGAAAAACAATCATAAGGCACTTTTTTGAGTGCCATTATAACTTCTAATGATCACTAAATGAACTGTTCTAAGTTGTGGACTACCTGTGTACAGCACAAAATTTGCTCCAAATTGACTTGCTTTTACCATTAGGAATGTTTTCATGATGTTTAACTGAAATGTATTGTCAAGCTACGAAATCTGCTGTCTTTAGGATGGCTGCATGCTTCTAGCTTGCCAACAGTGCGGGAGGGAAAGAGGGGTGAGTTTTGAATACACAGATGTTCCTTATCAATGTGAGACCCAAAATCATTGAAGAGTTGTTTTGGCGAACTAAAGTTTTTTCTCATAATTACTGGAAGATATATTGGACAATGTAACTGTCAGAGAGGGGAGGGAAAGTTTCATTCTTTTAATTAACCGCTTCTCACTCTTTTCTCACAGCTAGCTTTAATTCTGTTGTAACAGTTTGCTAATGCCTAATAAAGTTAACATTAGAGAACGCAATGCCTCTGGTGTTTTGCTTCATTGAGCTTCTCAGAAGGAACTTGACATGTATTTCCTTGTGATTTAAATGCATTGTTTATTGTCCTGTCATCCAGAACTGAAAAATTCTTTTCTATCTTCTTTATTACATAAAAATTGGTATAATGTTTCCCTTAAGTGTTGTAAGCCTAAAATACTCGATATGTACAACTATTCTCTTCAGATTTGCTTTTCCTAAAATCAGCCTAGAATGAAATACAATCCTCCAGATGTCATCTAACCCAAAGGTACCCAACCTTTCGGGCACCAGGGACCGGTTATGTGGAGAGAGGTTTTCCCGCAGACCGGAGGGGGCGTGGTTTTGTGTGCTGCTTGCATCCTGTGGATGGGGCTTTGCTTGTTTGTGCGGCCCAGTTGCTGATATGCCATGGCCTGGTACCGGTCCACAGACTGGGGATTGGGGATCCCTGATCTAACTAATGCAAACTATAAATAGTCCTCATCTTAAAATCACAATTGGGATCAGATCTTAAAATCACAATTGGGATCACTAAGCAATGGAAGTGAGTCACACTTGATTTTAGACCTTTTTTGCTGCTGTTGTTAAGCCAATCATTTCCCCCATTGACTTTGCTTGTCGGAAGCCTCTTGAAAGGTCACCAAAGGTAATCACACGGCCTTGCCATGCTTGGGTAAATATATGCCACTTGCCAAGTGCCCAAATTCTGATCACATGACTTTGGGAACATTGTGATGTCATAAATGTGAGGACCAGCCACCACTTTTTTCAGCACTGTCTTAACTTCAAATGATTGTTAGACAAATAGTCATAAGTCATGGACTATTTGTAGAGAGGAACAACGGTTTATCTTGATCATGACACTATTCCTATTGGTATAGTGCAAGGAGGGTACTTGTCCCTTTGCAGTGGGATCACATTTAGCATTTAGCATGTGATCCCCCAAATACTTCATTGCATGCTGCTCAGAATGGTCCTATCCAATTCTATACCCCTGCTTTTGAACCTACGTTCCTTCCATCCATCCATCCATCCATTCATGCAGCTATTCACTTGCTATACAACACTGGGTAGCTAACAACCCCCTAAAACGTCAAAAAATAACAACAGAACAGCAATGCAATAAAAGTTTTCAAATGACAAAGAGACATTGATATGCACACTTTGGGTATGATTGTTCAGTCAGATCTCCACCCCTCCAATGATAGCATACTCCAGTCATATTAAACCCTTAAATAACAATATATGACCGTGAAAGCAATTCACATGCTGTAGAATTTCATGAATTAGATTTAATGGCAGCAAAAAAGGGAAAGCATACAACATCTTGGAAATGAAAAAAGTGAACCTCCAGCTCTCACTTATTAGATTTTCCTTTCTCTCTTGCTGTAAGAGATCATAGAAATAGCAGTGTTTCTGGCAATAAAGTTCCAGCATATCTTGCCTCACCCCCATAACTGCTATAATGTATTGCTCTCCAAGTAGATTCAACTCAATAAATTAGTACAAAAGATAATTGATATGTCAATAATGATTTAATAGGAACATATGAATTCTAAGTAGTAGCAGAAATACATTTCAAAAGCATCAAAAATGTTTTATAAATTAGGATCAATTATATCTGACTAATTTGGGAATGGCATTATAGTAGAATTCAGACTTATCAATCTTCAAGCTAGGATGATAGTACTTTTTGACATGCAAAATATTTTCATCCACATAATATGTAAGCTAAGATTATTTTTAGTATTCAGAGGATTCCTCTGAATACCAACTTCTTTGCCCACCACAATCTTTCTCAAGTGACAAATATCTGTAGCTCGGGTATAGGATGAGGGTGAAAATTTGTTCTCCGAGCTTGTGGGTTGGTTTCTGAACATTTCATTACCAGTCTAGGTAACGTCTTCAGTTTAGGGTTTTAGGGGGATGTCAGTGTTCTTCTGTTTATAAGTTAAACAGAATATAAACAGAGGAACACTGGCACTTCCATCCCCTAAATCCTGCTGAACATGTTACCAACCGGGTAACAAAATGTTTGGAAACCAAGCCACAAGCTCGGAGAATGAACCTTCACCCTCATCTTTCTCAAAGTCTCCAACCTATTCCATTTCAGTGCCATTGCTTCAGATGAAGCTTCAGAAAAATTAGTGTGCAGATTGCCTATGTTTCTGTTTAAAGAATCCCCAATAGGAGTCATCCAAAATGTTCAAAAATTATGTATTACTGCTTCATATTTATATAAACCTTTTGTTATGCTTAATCCTTTTGAAATGTGAATGGCACTTCAATGCATTGGAAGGAGTGGAAAAGGGAATATTCCAGTATTTTCAGTATATGTATTAAGATAGGAACAATGCAAGATGCATTGTTTCTGTAAACCTTTTTGGTTAGTCTATTATATATATTTCATCTGAGTCTTCTTAGTATGTAGGGTTACATACACTTTTTCTAGCTAGGGTTCTTGCAATGTCCAATTGTTGCAGCCAAGGCTTCTCTTTAAACTCACTGCAATAAAAGACATAGACATTTGTTACTTTGAGGCCATATATAAGATATCAATTAATTATAAACACACACAAAAAACAAGTACACCCCAACTATTCCATCATTTACAAAATTAAGTGTGATAATGTTGAGTCTGGACTCCTAGTACATATTAAGAGAAAACATACTCTGAAAATAAAGGTAAGTACCTGGGAGAAAACTCCACTCTGTGATATGTTATTTATGCTCATGTTCAAAGATACAGTTGTTTACTGTGATTTGCACTTTGATAAATAGACAATATATAAAGGTAAAGGTTACCTTCACACTGAAGTGGTACCTATTTATTTGCATTTGCATGCTTTCGAACTGCTAGGTGGGTAGGAACTGGAGCCAGTACCAAGAACTCACCCTGTCGCATACTCAAGCTGTCAGCTTTCCAGCTGACAAGCTCAGTGTCTTTAACTGCTGAGCTATTGTGCCCCCTCAATATATATGTATCATAAAATAAACACAAATAAATTGGTTGCTAAATTAATGTATTTTTGGATCTGACATATTGCACTGAACAGTAAAAACTAATCCATCCTCTGTATTTGATTCCCTAACCCAGGGGTAGGCAACCTTGGCTCTTTTATGACTCGTGGACCTCAACTCCCAGAATTCCTGAGCCAGCCATGCTGAGGGGAAAGGGAGTTTCCAAGCTGAGCCATGCTGGCTCAGGAATTCTGGGAGTTGAAGTCCACGAGTCATAAAAGAGCCAAGGTTGCCTACCCCTGCCCTAACCTCTTCTCAGAAGCTTCTCCCTAGAGCAGTGATTCTCAACCTTTTTAATGCCACGACCCCAACTGGTCGTAAGTCGAGGACTACTCAACTGGTCGTAAGTCGAGGACTACTCAATTGGTGCAGCACCATTTGTAGAATGGACTTTTGGCGGGCTCAGCAGAGCAGAGACAGCCTGGACAATTCCTATTGGCTTTTGAAAGCCAATAGAATTAGACTCTATTCAAGAGAGTCTATTCTATTGGCTTTCAAAAGCCAAAAGAATAAAAGAGAGTAGCACAGCTAAGGAAAAGGGGGAAAAATGGCATACTGCGTTGTTTGGCGACCCCCGTGAAATGGTTGTTCGACCCCAAATGGGATCCCGACCCACAGGTTGAGAACCACTGCCCTAGAGAATGTTGGAAACTTGAGAGATGTTGTCTAATGAAGTGGATCAAAAAACATTTTTTCAGGAGAGGACAATCCACACTATTTATTTAATAGTTTTTTTTAAAAATGTATTTCATGATTCTGCAAATCAGCTAAAATCAACTTGCTTAGCATTGACCAGACTCTCCCACTCCTTTCTAAGCTGATTATAGTTTACTGGAATTACTGTTGCCACTTGATGGCAGTATCTGTTCATCAGAATGTTTAGATTTTCAGCAGCTCCTCCAAATGATAATTGTAATTGGCAATAATACATGATGGTTAATTATGAAGCACTCTTCACTTCTTTTTAACATCTACATGAAGCAGCTGAGACAGATAACCTGTCACACAGGTTCTGGTATCCTCAGTATGTTAATGATACCCAGTTATTTACTTTTACCCCAGGTCAAACAGGTGATGTGGTAAACTGTATCATTTGTAAAATGTTCTGAATACTTCTGTCACAGAAAAAAGGCCCAAGGCTGGGTAGACTGTACATCAGACATATCAAACTCGCGACGTCACGTGACGTCACGCAACGTATTGGACCTTTTTTGCCATTGCCGGCAATGGGGTGGACGCGGCTCCGGTATGATGAAACCGGCCAACGGGCCGGCAGTTTGACACCCCTGGTCTACATGCAGGCCTCTCAACATTTGGGTTGATGCCCCCTGGCCCTGTGTAATCACATTGTCAATTATGGCAACAAATCACTATTTTTGCCACAGGTTTTCCAGTTTAATTTTGGGATAGAGGCATCTCTTTAAGACTGGGAATGGAAGCATAAGATCTCCACAAGGAAAAAAAAAACTTCTGATGCCACTTTCTAACTTATGTATTTCTGAATAAAGACTGATACATACCTGGCTATAGCTAAGCAGTAAATTGCATTCTGTCTTGGAGTTCTTCCACAGTATTTTGAAAATGAATCCAGAGAAGGATTTAGCAGAAACTCTACATTAGGTATGGAATAATAATAAGCTGGCTTGAGGACAGAATTAGAAGGTAGAGGAACTCTTGCTAAACACATATTTTGGTCCATATATTCTTCACTAAGCCGTGTGTTCTTCTTCCTAGGCTTCCTTTTTTGGCAGTGTCTGTCTTTGTTACCTCTCTTCTTTGCACCTGCCACTGGAGGAAATCTAACATTTTTCTCCTTGAGGTACATATCAGATATGGTCACATGGTACCAAGATTGCTCATGTTGAAAGCGATTATTTAAATCTGGCAGTGTACAACCTCTGCTGCTTGCATGTTTGATCGTGGCTGAGCAAAAGCCTCTGGAGGTCATTTCTGGTTTTGTGAAACCATCCACAAAGACAACGTCCCCAACTCGTGTTCTGAAGACTGCAGCAGGGTTGCACTTCTTGGATGAATAGATATTATTTTGAGATTTAAGAAGCCACAACTTTAACTTAATATAGATTTTCATGGGCAGAGAGAATGTAGGGTAAGAAACCACTGACCATAACTTGGTGATTAAATACAATACACAGTCTTTATGTCTGTGCTGGATACATAGCTGCAATGGAGTCTGCCCTGCAGAATTTTGACATTCAAGGGATAAGGCACTGTAATTAACAAATGCTTTCAGTATCATAAGTTGGCCTGCTTCTGCAGCTGCATGAACGGGACTTTTCATGTTGTTGGAATGATCGTCTTCCTGGCACCATTCACGATAAGGATGTACACCTATTGTTTCAGTGGGCTTCACTCCCTTTTTCAGGAGCCAAGTTGAAACCTGAAGGTGTCCGAAAAAGGCTGCCATGTAAAGAGCTACTTTCATTTGATATCTGAAAGAACATGTGTACAAAAAGAAAAGAAAAGAAAAGAAATTGGTATAGCATTTCCAAAATCATGTGTCACCACAATTACAGTAGAGAAGTCACTATGCATTTACATAAAGAGTCGCTGATGTTACCCAGCACTGATTTATAAGTAACAACCAGCACTCTAAAAGGTCTTGGAAGCCTATTGTAACAATGCAGCAAAGGCAAAATAGGTACAATGTTGCAATAGAATACTTGACCTTCTTGATTTTAACTTTCACTTTCTTTTCATCTAGTCCCTCTATCCTTCAGTTCTCACCACTTAATGACTATCTTGGAATAAACATTCTCATCTAAAATAAAACTGAATTTCAAAAAGTGTATGTTGAATCTGCATACCTGAGTATTGGTTCTTCCTTTGACAGATAGTACTGGATTTTGGGTTTGCTTCCTAGGATACAGCTGGTCAAGAGTTCTCTCCATCCATTCCAAACATCCAAATGAAGAGTTGTGCCTGTTAACAGAAAACATTGTCATTTAGTTTTGCTTCTATCTTTGTTGGTTAGAAGGTACCACTCATTCTCTTCTGAAGTACTAGATTTTAATATCTATAGTAGCAGAAAAGCTTTAAAAAAATCACATGAACTATACCAGGAAAAGTGAAGTTTAGATTTAGAAAAGGACTTATTTATATAGTACTATGGATACAATGTGAAACTGAATCAATATTAATTCTGAAGAATAGCTAAATTACCTAACTATAAACATCCTTCAAAATGTTCAGTTTTAATTGCTTATCAGTTGCTTATGTTCTAACATTTTAAAATAGTCAATCATGTGCGGGTATTAGAATTTGAAAAGACAGTAATATGGCACTGCCAAATATGAAGATCGTATTTCATTTTCTCTCAGTAAAATTGTAAATATTTCTTATAATATAGTTCTGTATATGGCTACTCAGAAATAGCTTACTTTAGATTCACTGTGACTCATAAACCATCTGAGATAAAGACATCTAGACTACAATTTTGAGTAACCTAGATAAGATTTGAAGGTCCTATACTTATCAACTAAAACAGATATAATATGCAAACAGTCTTATACCTATATCTAACTGATAATTGTTCAGAGTATTGCAGTCAAACATCTCCCTGCCCTCTGGAGTCCTGAGACAATAAATGCTACTTGGAAAACCACATTTCAAGGTCACTAAAGTTTTCAGCTCTGAGACCTTTGATGAAAGAAGATAAATCCTTCCCCTTATGGGCAATTTTTCATGAGTGACCGCATTGTATACATAGAAAATTGGCTTGTCTTCTTCCTGGTGGAGAAAGGAGAAAACAATATTAATGAACAAAAAAACATAATGTATATGACATGTCTTCAATAATTTAGTTCCCTTTAGATTTGTTGAACTACAACACTACATTTCTACATTTCTACAATTATAATTAAAACTCCTAGTCAGAATATCCAAATATTTGGTAGACATTGGTTTGAGAAAGGCAATTTTGAATGTATGTGCAAGAAATGTCCCTCACATATATAGCTAAGGCAGTAAGGTTTATCTTACAATTTGTTACAGTAGATTACAATTTGTTATTAACTGTAAATAAAATAAATTAGATTGTGATTTTTTTCCTCCTGACTCTACCCACCTTGTGAAGCATAGCCTTATCATGCCATTCAAGAATCAAATGCAGCCTTAGGCTTGAACAATGTTGTATATGCTCTGAGAATTAGGTTTAAAACTGTACCTTCTTAAGAACAGTTCTGGTAGTCTTTGGATAATGTGAACATTCTTTTTTTCCAGGCTTAATTTCCATCTCCAGAATGAGAATAATCACTAGTATGCTTCTCAGAATGAAAGTATGAAGCCAGAAATCATATAGAATATTTTCCATAATTAAGAGAGTTGCAATGGAAGTGTGCTTGTTTCTCATGTGGGATCTAAAGCTTGGCTACAGACATCTATAATTATTAATGAACTTGTATGAATGCAGTTCCTTTCTAGTCTAATTTTTTTTTGCCTTATTTAGAAATTAAGTCATGCTGAGATCAAAGACTAGATTGAGAAAAAGACAGAAGCTCTAATGCTTTTCTTGTTTTTATGTCCTATGTATCAAGTAACATTGTGCCAAGAACAATAATTTTGGCTAACTAACTTCTGAATTGATAAAATAAGTAAGACAGGAGCAATAATTTCTGGTTTCTCAATTTAGTTGCAAGCAATTTTCCCTTTCCTGTTTATACTGTATATTAGCTTCAAAGAAAAAAATGAAAATTTCTTATTTTCCTTCCTCTTTGAAGAAAAGGCTATCTACAATATTTGTAACAAACATTTGGATTAAGCCAGTATTCACATCACGGCACAGCAATTCCTCATTTATATTTTAAAAAATAATGTGCAATTATGGCACATAAGTCATATCTCATTTTCACACTGCAGTCATGATATAACCATGTTTTAGTCAAGATTCTATCTTACACAAAATTATGTATGTATCCTTCTGTTCCTCAAGCAGGCAGAAAAGTATGATTGCAGTTAATTTTGTAAGACCAGTAAAATCATGACCAAAAATAGTTGAAGATTGGTAGGGCAACAGAAAGGTTTAGGGGGAAGCAGAAGAAGTGCACAAGGCATATCAGGAAAATTCCCTCCCATAAGCACCTGGTATGAACTGCCATAATGAACCCCCCAAGAGAGATGAATTATGCCTTTTGTACTTTTCTCTCAATGTTGTACACAAGTATAATATCCACTATTGTGGGATTTGTACTGTAATGTCATTATATATACTTCCTCATTTTCTCCCCTCTGTCACCCTCCCACTTGGACCTGTTTCATCCCCAATCCAGTCTCCATCCCACTGGGCTATGTTTAGAATTGTATTCAAGCGTTGTTTGAAGGACCGGTTGCAGAGAAGGAGGAAAGGTTGAGAAAGATGGTGTTTTGGGTATGCTGTTTTCTGACTTACAATACTACCTTGGCTCTAACTGAAACCTATCAGCTGGGCCTGAGATTAAGACTGTGTAATGAGGACAGTTTTAAAAAACTCTAAAAACAGTTAGTGGGTATCTTCATGCTGCACTTAAGGGATGTGAGGATGAGCTATGTTTGTATGTTTTTTTGGAAATGTACTGCTGCCATTAGAGGAGTCTATCAGATTCCACCAAAGACTGTTTTTTTTTTTTTTTGCTGAAGATTCCATTAAACCTGATATACACCTCCATCCACCATTCTCAATCACTCTTATTAGGCATAGTATCATGCTTTGCACCACAATGACGGAGAACAACCAATGAACAAATCAAACTTTAGAATACATAGCATAACATACCCCCCCAAAAAATATATGAATTGTTCGTATGAAAGAACTTCTTAAAACATTTAAAAGTTCATTGCAATCAGAATGACACTAAGGATTCTCACTGTCTTTATGCATTCTTGCTTTATTATTTGAAGATTACTGTATTGGTGGCACAGCAGTTAGAGTGCAGTACTGCAGGCCACTTTAGCTGTGTTCAGCAGGTCAGCAGTTCAAATTTCACCGGCTCAAGGTTGACTCAGCCTTCCATCCTTCCGGGATAGGTAAAATGAGGACCCAGATTGTTGGGGGCAATGTAAATATATATATACATTGCTTACTGGTGTACACCGCTTAGAGAGTGCTTGCACTTAAAGCGGTATATAAGTCTCATAAATAAATAAATAAAAATAAATAAATTTCATTTGAAGATCAGATTCTTCTGATTACTCTTAAGTGATGCTAGCATAAGTTCTATAAAGTAGAGAGAGAATTTCTGTATTAGGCAGCCTTTTTGTTCTTTTTAAATCATACCTTGATGACACATTTAACTGAGGAAGAAACTGTAATGCCTACATCAGCAAGTACCCAGTTGTCCTTTAGTACTGCTCCTGCATATATCAGCTCCAAGTATCTCCTGCCCTTTTTGTCTTCAGAAAGTGGAACATGAAAATAATCCTTAACAGAAGAAAACAGATTATTATTTTTTATAAAAAAAATAGACACTAAAAGTTCAAGGTACTATCCAAGTTATCATTCAATAGCCATAGTTGTAGGAACTATGGGGAAGGGTTGGAACTCAATAACAGGGCTATGGTTTACATATAGAATGTTTAGGCTCTATCCCTGACCTCCAAATGTAGAGTTGAAGAACCCTTTTCTGAAATTATGGAGAACAACTATCAGTCAGTGTGGACCAATTTCCTTCAATCTGTCACTCTTTATTGCACTAGACCAGAAGTCTCCAACCTTTCTTGGTTGGCAGACCTGAGGAAAAGGGAGGGAGAAGCGTTTTATGTATGTGTGCGCGCACACACACACACACAAACGAGGCCATGAGTGTGCGCGATGCAAATGGGGCACTGCTAGTGCCCGCATGACACTCACTAGCACTGCCCTGTTTTCGCGCTGACATGGTGCTCCATTTTCACGCTGCATGGTGCCATTTTTGCGCTGCACTGCACCCATTTGCATAGCAGCAGTGCCCCATTTTTGCTGCACGGTGTCCCATTTTTGCCACACAGCATCCCATTTGCATAGTGGCAGCAGCGTTAGCATGAGTGAGGGTAAGTGCATGCATTGACCAGCCTGTTCCACAGTCCGATGGCCAGGAGGTCATAGCCCGGTAGTGGTCCAAGGACCGCAGTTTGGGGACCCCTGCACTAGACCTCAATTTCCATTATCCTACACAACATCCCATATAGAAGTTAAAGTCCAATGCATTCAAAGGGCAAGGATTTGAAGAAGATGAATGCAAATATTAAGCTAGATAAACCAGTGCTTTATTTTGGTATAAGGTACTTTCCTATGCCCATAACTAATATAAACATGCCACAGCCAAAATTCTCTGAATAATATTCTAGGACTACATAGTATTTAGCTAAAAATTTGAATCAGTAACAATAAATGATTTCTGCTCTTGCATTGGAATCAATGTGAATGGTCCGATTGTACTTGCAGTGGAAGAAGCAGTACCAGATCCTGTACTCTTGTTGTTTCTGTGTGGAGCCTCTTAGCACCAGGCTCTGTTCTGGTAATATTAATGGTCTGAATTTTTTTATATGCACTGTTTTAAATCTGTTTTTTTTTTTTACTCAATGGTTTCTATTATTCTATAAGTAAAGTTAAGTTACATAGGACTGAGTTGTTTTAGTTGCAATCCTATGCCCACAGTCAGGCTTCTCTAAATTCTATTGTGTAGTTACAGCAGAGCCTTCATGCTGTAATAAATAGTTTTTCTGCAGAAAAGAGTTATTAACAAACAAAAAAATCTGTAATTCACATTAGTTAAAGTGTGTGTGTGTGTGTGTGTGTGTGTGTGTGTGTGTGTATGCCTGCGCACGTATGTTCTATCCTCCAGGTTTAAGTCCTTGATTTGTTTTCTTTCTACCTTTTGAGATATTGTGGCATTCTCTTCAAGGTCACGGAAAACAGCTGCAGTTGAGGTATGTTTACATAATTATTCTCTCCAGCTTGAGAAGTGTATAATCCCCTCCTTGCTAGTTTCAGCCCTTCATAGGGAATCCCTTTGAATGTAATAAGGCATCATTTGGAGCAAACATGTTAAAAGGAATGCAGAGTGTGCATATCTTTGTATGTAGCTATTTTGCTATGCCATATTCACACATATTGATATAAGTTTAATGGTGGCATAATAAATTATGAAGATGAAAAAGATGACATTTTACTTTTCTATTCTTTTCAACCCAACAGAATGTTGCAAATGGACTCAGGACTTTGTTCATATGTTTTTATGTTTATCAGCAAGGTAACTCTGCAAAAACTGAATAGAACAGGGGTCCCCAACCCCTGGTCCATGTACCAGTACTGGGCCATGACATGCCAGCAACCGAGCCACACAAACAAGCAAAGCCCATCCATGGGATGCAGGCAGCACACAAAACCACACACCCTCCGGTCTGCGGGAAAACTTGTCTCCATGGAACTGGTCCCTGGTGCCCCAAAGGTTGAGGACCTCTGGAATAGAACAAGAGAAAATTTGGTGGGGAGAATCTGAAAAAAAATAATTAAGTTTGAAATCAGGCCAAATCAAGATTGGGGGGCAGCAGAGAAAAACATGTAAGAAAAAAAATCCCTCAGTGTATTTCTCTAAGACAGTGATGGCGAACCTTTTAGAGACCGAGTGCCCAAAAACCTCACTCCTCCGGCCCGCCCTGGTCCGCCTCCGCTCTGCCTCCCCGCAGGTCCACTCAGCACAGATCGCTCAGGCGGCTTTGCAGCGCCATGGCGGCCATGCCCTCCACCCAAACCCCATAGCATCATCTGCACATGATGGGGCACGAGGGTGGAGTCTTGCCCCTGCTGCCCGGCTGCCATGTGCTTGGCTGTGCTGCTCCGCGTGGGCCGCGCCTGGAGGAGACTTTCCTCCAGGTAGGCTACTGATGAGGAGGGGGTTGTGGGTGGAGGTAAGGCTGGGGCAACAGCTCGCGTGCCCACAGAGAGGGCTCCGAGTGCCACCTCTGGCACCCATGCCATAGGTTTGCCATCACTGCTCTTAAGAGAAGCATTTGGGCAGTTGCTCAGAATGCTGCTGACTGTTTCATTCTAAGTTTGCTTTCTCACATGACTAAGAGCAGGGCTATGATTAAGGAGTTGAAAAAAAAATCCCAAGAGCCAGGTTCTGCATGCTTTCTCTATCTGGTTTGTATTCTGCCATTAAAGGAAATAATACTAAACCATAAATACAGGAATCCTTAGGTTCCTTATGTACTTCAGCTCCAATGAATTCTGTGTAAATATGCTACTCATGTAGCTTGTGTTACTAGTTATTTTTTTCTTTGTTAACCTCTCACATTCAAACAAAATAAACAACTCTCCCATATAATGTACGTTGAGAGAGTTTTCAAATTATTTGCAGACTAATTTTCTAGAAAGTAACTGCTCAAAAAAAAAAGTCATAAGATAATTCTAGTTTCATGTAACTTAGTGATAGTAACTTAAACAACTTTCACAAAAAGCTTTGTATATGCCGTAAAAGAGATTTTTCTTCATTTTGGCAGTGAATTTTATTACTGATTTCAATTTTTCACATGGACAGAAAGTCAAAAGTTCTAAAAAAGAAGCAATTTGATAAAGATCAAGTTCTTACCTTTATCATCAGTTTTACATCTTGCACAGTTTTCTCTGGTGAAATATCAAAAGACTCACAGAGTCCTTCAAAAGCAACAAATATTCTCATTTTGAAAGATGATATTTGGATTCTTCAAATGTCTTTAATAAGCCTCATCTTACCATAACAGAGGTGAAAAAAATTTGTGCTGTAAGTATCCAGTCTAAACTTGCACAACTTGCTCCCAATTTTGTGCTATAAGTATCCAGTCTAAACTTGCACATCCTTCTTTAAAAGCAAAAGGTACCCTGGAAAATCCTCTGAAGCAGCCAGCCCATGGAATCTGAGAAACAGTAAGAAGAATTTGATCATAGGTTGAGTTAAAAAGAACAAAAAGTTTGCTTTAGAAACCTGATTAAACTTTCAAACCACGTATTGACCAAGGCAAGCATGAACAAGATTTCAGCATGTATATGCCTGGTCCCAGCCAATCATACAGCAGTATTTGCTCAAAATACAATCTCTCGGCTTAAATTATTTACCTAATTGTTCATAACAACCTTTAAACTTTCTGTAATGAAATCTAAGCTTTGTACTCATGTTACCATGACAACTTTGTAAACCTGTTAATGTGACTAGCCTTGCCAGCTTAGTTTGGAAACCAACAGGATCTGGCAACAGCTTGAGATTTTCAGCAATACATAAATAAGAAAATTGGGGGGAAAACAAATGTATAACTATTTTATATTCTTGTACTCTACTGTTTCCTTTAGAAAAGGGAAATATTTTTTCTATCTATAAGGAGAAAAAGATTCTGGGAGAGGACCCCAGACTTCACAGATTTCTGAAAGGCTAAGAGATTTGGGGCCTCCCTGGTTATCAAATGGGAAACTGACATAATATATCAATAAACACACTCAACAACCCATAGGACATCAGTTTTTTACTCCCTACTCAATGCTAAATCATTCACAAAGCATTTTATTTACTCTCACCATGCTTTATTTCAAACACATATTGTTCCTGAAGAATTCACCAATCAGCCTTCAACATTATATTCACACAAAACATTCAATAGAGGCTTATTCTGAAGCAGAAAATGTACAATGAGTTTTGTGTCGTTCATTACTCAGTGACTAAAAAGTACAAATATGGTTTACAGACCAATGTCTAGCATAAAACACTTTCTAAATGTTGCCTCTTGCTATCTTTTATATTCTTTGAATCAGATTTTTGCCAAACATCTTTCCAGGTACATTTAATAATCCAATTAATACCTCATTTTCTACATTCACTTATTTTTATATTTATTTTTATCAGTGAATCACAAATGCAAATATTTTAATAACCCTAGTGTTTTCCCTTTTCTGAGTTTGAACTCATAGTGTCAAATACAATATTCTATTTTCTAGTTCAAAAATCATATCTTTAATAAATTTCCCTTCAGTAAAAAGAATTGAAAATTGCTGTGGTCTGGTTTCTCTTCAATAAAGGGTTGGAAATTATTATGGTCTAGTTGACAATAACAGCAGAAGCACAATAGTTTTGACTTCCCTCAATGAGAGAAAAAGGGAAGCACAATTGTTTTCCTTTTTCTGTAAAAAAAAACAACAGGAATTGGAGTTTGCTGGAGAAACATTGAAGTGAAACGTTGAGAATGAAACCATTTTGATTCATGGTTCCACTTGTTGTTGGAACTGTAATTATTGTTCTGTAAGTCCTATTGCCTGGTATAACTTTATAGCATATTTTCTGGCCTTTTGATTTCATGTACATCTTGCCTCTAGAAAGCTGAAACCAAACCTGCCCTTGACTACCTTTCCACTGCTACATTCTGGTATACCAGCAGTAAGTCTAGATGTCCCGCTGTTTGAAGGGGGACAGCCTCCCTTAACTCCAATTTCTTTATATATCCTAATTTTTTTTTTATTTGCAACCCAAATAACAGGATTTCTCATTCTTGTTGTTGTTGTTGTGAAAACTATTGTTTATCTAAAAAGTGGAACAAAAATGCAGTTAAATAAAAAATAATTATTTAATATAAAATATGCATGAACTACATTTTTCCCCCTCTGTTCCCGCTTACATTCTTAAGATTATTATCCCAGTTTGGTCACTTAAAACAATTAAAACAATACAAGATCTATAATGTTCTTTATTTTTAATAAATTAACTCCAACAAGCATATCAATGAAAACAACAAATGTTCTTTCATCCGTTCATTATGAGATTAGGAATGTTTTAAGAAACTGACAATGACTGAAAGGACTTTTTTTTCCCCTAATGTCAAAATTTGCAAGAAAGTTATACATTCTAATTAGCACTCCAGAAAGAGCAAAATAATGGTTTTCAAATGTTCAGGGTTTTTTTTTTTTTTTTTTGCTAACCATTCTTATTGCACTTAAAAATTTTTTTTAATATATAGGCCAGATCTTCCTGATATAGCACCCGCAATTATTACTATCACTACAGACACTTCCCTGAGCATCTCTCAGACTTTCCTGTTCTTCTGTATTTTAGGGATTTAAAACACACACACACACACACACAGTTGAAATGAAAAACAAACTTGTTTATTTCTACTCCCCCCTTATTTCTAATTCTAATGATCTGCAACATTAATTGTAAGGTTTTAAATACTGAAATATGTGTTATTAGAATTCATCACAAATCATCCCTTCTTTGATTTTTCATTTGCCTCCATAAAGAGTCAAAGCAATGCTAAGAATTTGCATCCACCTGTTGCTGAAAGAGAAGTAGCAAGAAATTAAGAACATAGAACTTCTTGCAGTGCTATTTTTTTGTGCATTTCCTGCTTCATTCTTTTGCTAGCTGGACAAAAAATGACTCAAGCATTGAGCTGCAGTATTAAGAAAGAAAAATCTCACTTCTTGCAACTCCAGTTTATTTATAAACTCGTTGTTTTAGCTTCATGTATAAGCCAGCATGTGGCTGTCATGGTCTGCTGACACCAATTATTCCTGTGCAAAGATATCATACAACTTGAACACTAATCTGCCACTAAGAAAGGAGAGAATATGTAAGCAGTCTAATATTTGTTTGGATACTGTTTTACAGAAAATATTTATTTTCAACAGCCATTTCTTTTCCATAAAGCTAGTTTACAACTAACAGAAAGTAAGATAACAGATGGTAGGTTACTTCCATTTTTTCAGAGCAGATTTAAGTTGGACAAGTGGTTACATTGTACCTCATGATAGGAAATGATTTAGTTTTCTTGCCTTCTGTGAAATTAAAGACATTTTAGTCAGACTAACTGATATTAACATATGAACGTTTTGAGCAATATTATGTCCTATGCCTATGGGACCTGGGCCCCAAATTTTGTAAAAGGTAAGTAACACCCTTCATGGCTCAGACTAGCAATGACTTCTTAACAGATTGTTCTTATACTTCCTAACAGGAATATCAGGATATTGTACAATTTGTAATGGCTAGTTTAGCACATGTGCATTTTGATAGTGTTGTTGTTTTGATAATCTGAATGAGGTATTTGCATTAAAAGCATGTCACAGAACTGAATTAAATACTGTATACAAACAATTGCACAGCCAACATTAAATGTTAGAGAACTCCTAATCAATAGAAAATTAATAATTCACAAAATAATGACTATTTCTGTTTAATACTAATATTGCAGTATATTGATCTCCCCCCCCCTTAAGGTATATTTTATTTTATTCACTAAATGAATTTTATTATCTCCAATGCCTTGACCATCTGATGCTCACCAAACTTGTAGTACTTCAATCCCCAGTTTGTGACAAAATGAAGGAATTGTTTAATGGAAGGTATGTTGTTCTTTCTCATATAAAAGAATGACCCTATAATCTTTGATATCCTGGGAGGGGGAGTTCTTACTATTGAAGATGAAAATAATAATCCCTATTTGTTAAAGGCATACTGTTAAAATTCTTAAGATGTTTACTGTATTAATACAGAACATTATATGACACAATTATAGTATATTGTTTGGAAGTATGTGATGCCATATGCAGAATCTTGCTATGATTTAGTGAAATACGAACTCAGTCATTTGACCATCTATGGCAGTGGTTCTCAACCTTTTTAATGCCGCGACCCCCAACTGGTTGTAAGTCGAGGACTACCCAACTGGTCATAAGTCTAGGACTACCCAACCGGTCGTAAGTCGAGGACTTTCCCTGCCCGGGAGCACTGCGCATGCATGGTGCCGTCCCCTGCGCCGGCCGAGGCATAGCTGGCAAGCGACAGAGATGGCACAGGCCGACCACCAGCTGGCCCAGCCCAAGGGAGGTAAGGCACCCGCCGGGCCCCACGTGCGCCAGCAACCCTCCCTGCGCCCGCCGGCCTCCCACCTCTGGCCCTCTTTTACTTACATTTTTAGTAATTGCTCAGCAGCGAGGGGTGGAAACTTCCAGACAGCTCGCCTTCGCTGCCTACAACTTGCAGCATCGTTTGCAGAATGGGACTTTTGGCGGGCTCAGCAAGGCAGAGACAGCCTGGACAATTCCTATTGGCTTTTGAAAGCCAATAGAATTAAACTCTATTCAAGAGAGTCTATTCTATTGGCTTTCAAAAGCCAATAGAATAAAAGGGAGTAGCACAGCTAAGGAAAAGGGGAAAAAATGGCGGACTGCATTGTTTGGCGACCTCCGTGAAATGGTCGTTCGACCCCAAATGGGGTCCCAACCCACAGGTTGAGAACCGCTGATCTATGGATAATTTTTAATGTTTGAATGCAGCTAATTATTATTTAATAAATATGACTCATCATTTAATGATTTATATCATTATTTAATAAAACCAAGTATGTCTTAGCCTGATGTGTGATCTTCTGCTGACTTATGTTGTCCAAAACCAGTCTCTATGGTTTGTTTATAGTTAAGTATATTAAGGGAACCCTGAACCTAATGAAACGTGATTCAATCATAGGTGTGCATGCTGTGCAATTACAGCCGGCACACTCACTAATCTTGTCAACTCCAGTTTATAGTTTAATATGTTGCATGAATTCTACTGATTATATTTTATTCGGTAAATTAGGATTAAACTACATTTAACCCAATGTCTGAGTCCAATCATTGCCGTCAATAGAAAAAAAAATCACGTTCATTATCGTTGTAGTCTAGAATTAAATTCTGACACAGAGGAAATAACAAATTCTAAGACACCCACAATTAACCTTAATCGCCTACCCACCTTCCATTTATCCTCACCTTCCTCCTCTCCTTGCCAATCCCGCATCCCTCGGGAGGTGACTGCTTCACTCAAGCCCCACCCCTCCCCAGTAGTCGTCACGTGCGACCAGCCGTGCGCAAACACCGTCTAGTTTGTGAGTTACAGGCAGAGAAAGCCAATCCACGCCATCTGCTTAATCCTCTGTGCCTATACGCGAGCCGGCACGCGAACGGGGGTGGGATTTCCGCAGCTTTCGGCTGAATCGTTGACCGACAGAGGGAGGGCTTGATTATGGCTTCTGGCTGAGCTGCCCTGCGGTCCTTCGTCTGGTCTGGGACTCTCTCCCTTTTCGGTAAGGGTTTTTCCTTCCCACCCAGAGCTTTGGGATCGTGGGCGCGCCTAAGCTTCTTTCCGGAGCTGAACTCTGATTGAGCGTACGGGTTATTCTTTGAGCCCCGGTCGTTGGGAGAGGCGGGGAATCTATTGCTTTCCAGGGCGTGATTTTGTTGCGACTTCTCCCCCCCCCGCCCTTCCCCGTTGATTCTTCTATTCTGTTGTTGGTCTTTGCAAGCGCAGGAGATTGTTGCACGTTCAGGTTGTGCACGGTTAAAAAAAGAGCGAGGGGGGGGGGCGCAGGGCTGTTTTCTCCCAACTCTTTCCACCACCACCCACGCCCAATAAAGTAACTTTCATTTGACTTTTGCTGCTTGTTTTCGCTTTTCGGTCTTCGTTTCGTGGTTTAGGCGGGTCTTCGTACTGACCATGTATACCCTGCGTGGATACGGTTCCCACGAGCTTTGTCGCAAAATTCTTTCCGCAGTGCCTTGGATGAAGAACCTTGAAAATCGCCCCAGTTTGGGGTTGCTGAAGTTTCATCACGCGCGAGTGGGGTTCTGGCTTATTTTTCCAATAAGCAGAAGCTAAACACAGTTGCACACAGTGTGATCCTGGCGTCTTTGTGATGCAGTGAATGTTTATGATGACATGACCTTTTTTTAGGGCCTTCTATTGGGCTTAGCGGGCGAGAGAGAGTTTTATGCGTGCTCTTCAATAGCGCGTTGAAAATGGTAGAAAATCGTTCTCTGCCTCTTTAGTTGTGGCAGCGGATATGGGTTGCCTCGAACTCTTCTCCAACTTTGATCACGTTGAATCGAGAACGAGTTTGGATATCGTCATGCAGCTGTTTAGTTATTTGCCTCTTAAGTTTCGTGTAGGTTTATACATAACAGGGAGTGGCTTTTGAAGACACAATCACTTCTTTGTGTGCTCATACCAAACAAGGGATTGAGTAGTTACAAAAATATAAACTGCTGTACAAAAGTTTGAAGTTAATATCTTGGGAAATCTCAGGTTAGTTCTATCCCCGGAGCAAGCTATAATGCAGTTTTCCCCAGCTTGGTGTCTCCAGAGGCTAAAAACTTTTTAAGATTTTAGCAGAAACGCTGCCAAATCTTAAAGCATACTCCTGATGTGATTGCATTGAAAGTCATTTTCTGTCTCCCTCTATATGTCATAGTTTGGACCCATAGATTATTAATAAATAGTCTGGGGTCAAAAAGTGAATGGTTGCCTTCTCTCATGTGCTTGCTTAAAAGAAATTTAAATTGTTTCTATATTGTAGTATAATGTTTTAAATATAGCACTTAATAAGAAAATTCTTCTTTCTTTTCTACCTTTCTATCAGGGCCAAGTTTAGAAATTTGGTAACGCCTGGCTTTTAATACATGCCTGTATTACAAATTTTTAAATAAAATGTCATAACTATACTGGGATATACTGGAGTGGATTTTACAACTGAAGCAATAAGTGCTGGAAATACTGAATTTGAATGCTGTGACTACATAATTCAAAATAACATGGTACTTTCTGTGTGTAACAACTTCTACTGGAGTCCGATAGGGGCCCATATAAGAAATGCTTCAGAAGTCCACTTCTCTTTGCACACAATCATTGTGATATACTATCTGTGTAGATATGTTAAAACAATTATTTGTGCTGGTGATAATTGAAGTTTTGAACACTCTTATGTCTCTCCATCCCCTTAACAGGATGCTGTTAACTCCCCTGTAGATTCAGTAGTCTTATATTTGGTATATGCATGTATATGACAATACTAGCAATTTGTCATAAAATGTAGAAACCTCATTGTTGGATCCTACTACATAGAAGGTAACAACCTACATTGCAAACATTCTCCTTGCATTTAGATGTGTGTGATACATTTGTGTGCTATGGGAGCTAGGAATGTAATTACCATTATGCATATACCCACTTACAAAAACATATATGACATGGAGAGACATCATAGTCTAGTTTGAATGTATACATATACATGGTGTAAAAAAAGAATCCTGCAAATTTACAAGATGGATGGCATAAGGAACAAAGCTGTTACAGAATCTAGTAGTTCTGCTATAAATACTTTGTAACTCCTCCCACAGGGGAACAACAGAAACAGACCATGAAAATTAGGAACTGGTCTGTTCAATCAGAATAGAGCTGGAAGGAAGGTCTTTTAGTCCATCCCCCTGCCCAAGCAGGAGATCTTATACAATTTGAGACAAGTGGCTGTCCTGCAACTGTTCTTCATATGTTTTGGTCTCCAGACCTTTAATCATCCTAGTTGCACTTCTCTGCATTTTTTCCAAAGTCCCAACATCTTTTTTTGTAGTGTTGTGACCAAAACTGGATGCAAATATTCCAAGTGTGGCCTTACTAAGGTTTTATAAAGCAGTACTAATACTTTGTGTAATTTTGATTCTATGCCTCTGTTTATACAGCCAAGGAGTGTATTAGCTTTTTTGGCTGCTGTCGCAAACTGCTAGTTCACATTTAAGTGATTGTCCACTAGCACTGCCAGGTCTCTCTCACTATTACTCTTTTTGAGCCAGGTTTTTTCTAATCTGTAGTTTTATATTCAAATTATTTTTCATCTACTCTAGATTAAAAAGGAGTTCTAGCACATGCCCACATTTGTGATTTGGGGCTGAAATTATCTGAGACAAGCCCATAGTTGTTACGCAGGCTCTGAAATCTCTAGTTGACCCAGGCACAGAAGTTCTAGTCTCCCAAAACCAAATTTCAGTTTTTCCAATATCAGCAGCAAGATAACTCAAGGATCTCATCCAGGACTGTTGAGCAGCAGGGCAGTTACCATACTAGAAACAATCTCAGCTTCTATCTCTGTCCCATTTTCCGGGAATAGGTAGTCTTTGGTTAACAATAATAATTGGGAATGGATTTCTGTCACTAAGAAATGTGGTCATGTAAAGATTGACATAATATGACCAAATTGCTTCCCATTGCTGTTGTTAAGAGAGGATCGTGTGTCATTAAGCAAGTCCCAGAAAGCTCACAAGCAGGCTGGCCATCAGGTTATGCAGCGTGAATGTGGCAGGGCCAGGAGTGGCTGCTGCCATGCAGAGCAGGGTGCAAGTGTGGTAGAATATAACCTGGAGAAGCTCTGGGGAGGAGTTTTGGCAATATGAGCTTTCCCAGAAAGGGCCCAGATTAAGAAACAGTGAGGTCCCAAGATGGTTTGAGGGGGAGGAGGAGAACAGGTTCAGGTAGCTGCACCCTGGATTCTTTCAGGATATATGTAGTATTAAAAGGTTACAGCTTTAGTTTGGCAAGATTCTGTCTACTAAGTGCAAGCAAATAAAAGATTGGATTCAATCAGGATTTTGCCCCATTGTCCTTGGGCTTGAGCCTGAAATCAATCTTGCCGAACTCATATTTCTTAGTAAGAACCAGGAAAATTTTCAAGCATGATTACAGATCCAAAAGTGTGCCAATAACTCCACAGCAGCTAGCAGCATTCTTACTCCAGCACTGTCAGTAGGTGGATGTGCAGTCAATAATTTACAAGCTGCTGTAGTGCAGTTGTTGCAACAACTTATCCAGCAGTCGCAGCGGAGCCAGTGCTGGTGCACTCTATGGAAGCTTACTAGAGAAATACAGAAGAGATGTAGACCAACTAAGAACCTTTCTGGCTCAGTGTGAAATGTTCGCACAGCAGAGCAGCAGAATTCTGAATAGGTTACATTAGTGTGACCTTTTTATTGAATTTGCTGAAGGGGTTGGCTGTGAAATGGGCCATTCAAAAGATAGAAGGCAATGACTTGATATTGGATAACTCCCAGAATTTTTATCAGGAGATTTATAAAAACTTTCAGCATTCCCATTCAGAAATCACAGTCAATTGGGAGATTTGTAAACTCAAATAGAGCAACAGGAAAATAAGCTTGTTCATCTCAGATTTTAAATAGTTGGCCCTGGATGTTGGATGGAATGAAATGACACTTTTCATCCAGTTTGGAGTGGGATTGAGTGATGACACTTGAAATGAATTGGTATGGCAAGGGTCTTTTGCCTCATTAGATAAACCAGCATTGTTGGATTAATTGACACTTGTTTGGAAAAACTGAAGCAGAGCAAGGGCTCCAGAGGCAGAGGTGCCTACAGGTTGGCAGTCAAAGGTTTCTAACAGTTGCATCTCTGGACAGGGATGGGGGAGCCAATGCAAATTGGAGCTGTCAATAAGTCCATTTCAGAGGAGGAAATGGGGAAAAGCAAAGAGATCTGTGCTTCTGTTTTTCCTTGGAGTTTCAGGGCATATTGTTAGGACCTACATAGTGAGAAAACCAACAGTGGGAATTAGAGCATCTGAACAACCCGCCAGCAAGTACCTACTCTCATCCACAGGTGCTAACCAGGAGAACACCACTAGCCTCCATCATGAGAGCTCACTGGAGGGAACCTGCCAGCAAGTAAAAGAGAGCTCAAGATGAAGGGGGTAAGAAGATTTTTTTCTTACTCCTATTACTATCATCTTAGAATCATCTCATCACGAACTTTATAGATGTAGAGGTGGTGCATAAATTGCAGCAAAACTACCAAGATTTGTAGTAGAAGAGACTGTAGATGGCTAGACTTTGAAGGTGGGTCCTATTTTGCAATTCACTGCTCTAGTGTAGCTGGCAATTGACATGGAATTCTTGGCCTTGTATGTGACAGCTTCCTTGCAAGTACCTGTGGTGCTGGTTCTCTTCCTGATTGCAGCTCCATAAACCATGAGTGGATTGTGCGACTGGAGCAATCTCATTTCCCTCTCCATTGAGCGCAAACTTCCATAGCTCTCCTTGGTGCTTATAATGAGAATCCAG